ATGGAGCAGGCTACGTATGAGGCGATGGAGCAGGCTACATCTGAGGCGATGGAGCAGGCTACGTCTGATGTGCTGGAGCAGGCTGCACCTGCTGCGCTGGAGCAGGCTACACCTGAGGCGATGCAGCAGGCTACATCTGATGCGCCTGCTGCGCTGGAGCAGGCTACATCTGAGCCGATGGAGCAGGCTGCACCTGCTGCGCTGGAGCAGGCTACACCTGATGCGCTGGCGCAGGCTACACCTGCTGCGCCGGAGCAGGCTACACCTGAGGCGATGCAGCAGGCTACATCTGATGCGCCTGCTGCGCTGGAGCAGGCTACACCTGATGCGCTGGCGCAGGCTACACCTGCTGCGCCGGAGCTGCCTACACCTGAGGCGATGGAGCAGGCTACATCTGAGGCGATGGAGCAGGCTGCACCTGCTGCGCTGGAGCAGGCTACACCTGAGGCGATGGAGCAGGCTACATCTGAGGCGATGGAGCAGGCTACATCTGAGGCGATGGAGCAGGCTACGTATGAGGCGATGGAGCAGGCTACATCTGAGGCGATGGAGCAGGCGACGTCTGATGCGCTGGAGCAGGCTGCACCTGCTGCGCTGGAGCAGGCTACACCTGAGGCGATGCAGCAGGCTACATCTGATGCGCCTGCTGCGCTGGAGCAGGCTGCACCTGAGGCGATGGAGCAGGCTACATCTGAGGCGATGGAGCAGGCTACATCTGAGGCGATGGAGCAGGCTACGTCTGATGCGCTGGAGCAGGCTGCACCTGCTGCGCTGGAGCAGGCTACACCTGAGGCGATGCAGCAGGCTACATCTGATGCGCCTGCTGCGCTGGAGCAGGCTACATCTGATGCGCCTGCTGCGCTGGAGCAGGCTAAATCTGAGGCGATGGAGCAGGTTATATCTGAGCCGATGGAGCAGGCTGCACCTGCTGCGCTGGAGCAGGCTACACCTGATGCGCTGGCGCAGGCTACACCTGCTGCGCCGGAGCTGCCTACACCTGAGGCGATGGAGCAGGCTACATCTGAGACGCCCGAGTTC